AATGACACTTGACAAAATTGTCAAAATTTTGCAGCTTTCAAAGATGAGAGTGTCGTGGGAGTCTCGTGGGTTTTGGCACCCCACATTTGTGATAGGAATAACGGCTCTGTGATCGCGGATTCCATATGATATTTTATGACTGAGATATTGAAATTATACTACATAAATCGATTATAAATAAATATATACCCTTTCATCAATGGAATTTTCCTGCATTTTACCTTTCAGGCACAATGAATACACAATTTTCATATTGGTCTCATTTATTAAAAAATGGCACACAAAGACAACAAAATCGGAACTTACACCTCAACTTAAAATTTGAACACTAACATACTAAAACTAAAAACTAAAACCTTACCGTATATTAACAAATATTATATCAAAGAGCAAATAGAAACATTACTGAAATAGAACTCAAATCAGTCACAACAAAACCAGCATAACAATCAGAACCACTCGCGTTCTGCAAGAAAAGTTGCAACTGGATGCAATTGGGTATGTTTGTTCTGCCAATCATGAACTACGCCTGTTTCAAAAGGGGGGAACTTCTTTTAATTCATTGCAATGCTACAGCACATCGCCTCTTCCAAACTAAATGTATTTGACGTTTTGCTTGGTGAATTTCTTTTAGAAATACTGCTCAAAAAGCTTTGGGCAGACTTTACGGTGCTGTGAAGCAGCTGGTCTGTCTGCTTCACTGTAAAAAATGTTCGGATTTTTGCCATACAAGTGTTTGGGAAAAATCCCATACGCGTGTTGGACGCGAAATTTTCTACACATGTGTAGGATTTTTACAATAAACGAAATACTGTATAGGGAAAAACCGATATGTATGTGAAAAATCCCACACTTTTGTGGCAAAATGCCTGCGAGTGTTTAGGAAGAACTTTTCACATAAGTGTGGGAATTTTGCTATTTTTATCTTGAAAATTTCCGACAACGCAATAGGAAAATTACAGTTCATGATTTTTGGACACATCAGTCCTGCTGCTTGGGTACAATTATTCAGCAGTCTCGTTGTCCTGCTGTGGTCTCAAAGGAATCATATTGTGTCGAGAGTGCTTCTCAAGAGAAATGAAATATATCAAAATATT